ATATTTCTTTGGACGTTTTCGTTTGTTATCTTATTAAGTTGTTGAGTTTGTCGTTGTTATTGTTATACCTTGTTATAATTATAGGCTAATTTAAACACCATTTTGAGATTATATTCGACTGTATTTCACCAAACATCAGACGGCATCCGAAGCTGGAAATCGAAGCGAAAATTTTGAAACCCTTATGTATATTTACATCATTATATATTTCTGATCCCACCCCACATGATCCTATATCCATCACCAATCGTATACACATCGAATTGTGCTAATTTACTACAAAGTTACGCAAAGCAGCATCTACTATCTAAAATATGTACTGCGTGACTCTTAATACGTCCCTGCCGAATGTTACAGCGTTCGATGGACACGTGGTCTTGTTTATGTCCGGTCTATCTCTTATCTGAATATACTGTAGTTATAATTAGAAGGCGGGCAACATGTTTGTGGATGTGCATTTTTGTAAGGTAGATGCAAAACAAAACCCATGGAGCTTAGAGTAGGCAGGAAAGCTGTACCAGTTGATACAAAACTCCAGACTGCCGGATTGGAAGGTACAACGAGCCTTAGTATCTGTAATGCCATTGGGACGTTGGTCGGACGGTCCCCTGAAACAAACAAGAAAAAAAGGCCGAGCTGTGTCATGAGGCGGTAGTTACTCAACTATTTTATCTAACCGAATCCTGAAAGCTGGCTATCCTGACAGGCGGAGTAGTGAATTTGGTGTAAGAAAACTTTATCCTCTCCAGCTTAAACCTGATCTATACAATTTTTTAACTATCTGAATGATCAGTACTGTGGAAAATAGTTAAAAGGGTATATTTATTTCAATTTTTTTGGCTTTTGGTATTTTTACGGATTCGCTGAGAGCAATCCGCTAGAATTTCATAACCATTACATGAAAGAAACGCCATTAAAATCATAATCAGGATTGAAACCAAATTCGTCTATCCTGGTTTCTAGAAAAGCCCAAAGTTGATTTTGTATAAGTCGAAAAAAATTATTAAGTCCTTCTAATTACTTGCGACAAAACCGCAAAATGTACCATTTCTCAAAAAAATTAAACATAACATATTGTAAGTGTTTAAACCGCATTTTGTACAAGTTTTTACCTGATATCAGTGCCAATGGTGTTTGCTTCTGAGGTTTTGGAGTTATTTCAAATCTTCCGTAAATTGCTCACCATGACTAACGAAAAACGCACTATCCATGAAATCAAAACATAAGTAGCAGATTTCACATTAAAACTGAACCATGGCCGAAAACCTGACAGTTTCGCAGGTATCAACCTGAATGCCTCAAGTGTCGCTATTCTCATATTTTGGTAGACGGAGCTCAGATTTCTGAGGGAATGACTTGGCACGTACGCGTTTCGTGAACGCATGTCTCCTCCTATACACGGTTTGATTCAATATTTATGAATGAACTTAAGTGTGTATGGGTCAAAATCAGGTAGGTGAGCATTTTAGGTTTTCGAATATCTGAGAAATTAAGTTTCCTTTTGAAGAAAACTAACAAGAGTAGTCTGTTGTGTCATTTATCAGGAATATTTTCCATGAAGGTGCACGAACAAAAATATATATTTTAGAAATGATTCACGAATCACCATCAATCAATTGTAATAAACCTGCCCCTAAATCGGAAAATGTTATTTTGTGATTTTTCATAATCAAAACACCTATTTTTCAAGTTATTCTCCATAAATCTTCAATTGGTGTAAATTCTGCTCCAAAACTTCAATTTATTTTATATTCTTGCACTACGTGGTATAGTAATAATTCAAATACCAAAGCCCAAAGGTCATTTCATTTGGTATATGTAAAATTATATATTATATAAAAGTATAACATTACGTATTAGTGATTTGTTTGCCGTTTTTGTGACGTTCCCAAAATGATGGGGATGTTCCCGAAATAATCATGAAGTGCTCTAAAAGACGCTGACGTTTTCTGGATGAACGCAACACCTAGTTTTTGACATATCGTATGCATTAAAATAAAATAAACGATTTAGTATTATACCTTTATTTGTACTGAGGGATGAGGAACGTGAGTATCAACATTCAAACTAAAAATGTAATAATTATACACTTTGTAGTTATATATAAGTTGCATAATATCACAAAGTAGCTTGGGTCTCGAAGTTTGAACTTAAAGTCTAACCAAATAACGAATTTGGTAATTCCAAAGACAAAACAAAAAGACGTAAATTAACATAAAAAGAATCAGGATTATTAACTGTAACCACATTACTTTTCAAACACGTCTTTAGATGTATCAAGTTTGGATGCATGTTCGCCTTGTCTTCTCCGTACGATGTGCCAGCATCAATATCGTCATTCTTTCCATGAAGCCGATCTGAAACCGTTTGGAGATTCTCATCATCTGAAGTGTCTTATCCGTATACGGCGACGTAAGTGCTTTCTCTATTGATATGAATAGGACTCAGAAACTCTTGATGTATTTTTAAGGGTCGATTTCACCAAGGTTGTCAAATCAACAGTCTGTTGTTCTCCACCTATAGGGTAAGAGTCCGTCAAATACAGCGAATGAGCTTCAAGTTCCAATCAACAAATTTTAGCAACCAATAGCTATGAAATGTTGTTAAACAAAATACTGTCAAAGTATGAGATGACAGCTTGTCATTGAAACATCACCAGCTTATTGGATATTAAGAAATTACATATAATTCAGTCAAAATTTAGAGAAACGTTTGATTTTTAATAAAATTCATGTTTTAATTACTATTGTTGATTTTTATTCACGTTTTTACTATTTTTTTCAATTGATATGCGATTTTACTGATTCAACATCATCTACTTGGCGTTTTCTCGTATAAACCTCTTGCTGATAGCCATTAAGCACCTACTTGATGACAGGCTCTACCAAAAGATATGTCTCGTTTCCAAACATTCATTCATTCACTTGCCGTTCATCAGAACCATTATGGCACCTTAGATTGATATTCCCACAAAACCATTCAGGTTTTTTTGATATCCATACATCCATGAAGTTGAATATTTTTCGTTGTTCAGGAACTGAACAAACATCCACACTATATTCACATAGATTAAGAAATTCCCAAATATTTGCCTTAAAGCTACCAGCAAACCTAAAACCTGAAAAAAAACTACAAATTTGCCATATTTTTCTTTTTTCACGAGTACACAACATTCTAGGTTATATTTATATTAGACATTATTTGAATACAGCTGACTATTGTATTTCAACACTCCCCTAGTGATACATGTGTGGGATCTGTCAACCCTTGGTCCCAGTTACAAAACATATACTCTGAAGAAGTTTTAATTCCATGCTATTCAATGACAACGCGGTGACTTGTGTGGTTGTCAGCGGCCATTTTGTGAGGGTGCGACATGGTTGCCAGATGGTGCATTAATATCCCGTTTCACCCTCCTGGTCCCAGTGGAGTAAGTTCCGCCAACTGTTGAAATATACTCTACTATGCTTTATAAGACTATTCATGAAGTTTTTCTCAAAATTGTTGCAGAACACTTGAAAAAATGCAATTGAAAATTTAAAATTATTTCCATGACGCCACAAAATAGCTCCGTCGGTACCTCGGGTTATACATCTTGACAGTAGGGATGTTCGATACGATCCTATATTTAGAAGTATCAATACATTTGAGGAGTATCGTCATCTTTCGATCCGGACTGTGTCAGAAAGAGTTACTGCCATTTGGCTGCGACACTACCCTGCCAAATCAGACATATATTTCATCATATTCAAAGAAATTGTACAAAATCTTCAAATTTGTAAAGTTAGCGGGTTTCACTTCATACGTTGTTACCCAAATCATCAGTTGCTGCCGTGATATTCATCTCGACCACTGCATCCTCACGGCTAGGCGACCTGTATGTTAAACTTGTATTGATAGGGCAGCGGGTTATGCTATAAATCATGTCACAGTTTTTGTGCACTGAGTGCAACGGTTAGATGATATCAAAAATATTTTCATAAATAGGAGATCTTTCCCATTCCGAATCGAACAAAAATTCAAAACCAGCAAATGTAAAAGATTCATTTCGCACCCTCCACCACGGGACGTGATCGTCGTTAGACTTGGCAACCCTGCGAGTGACAGATAGATATCCCCGCCAGTCAAAAAGACAATCAAACAATAAACATTACTAGTTTTTATGATTTCTGGACTTAAAAGACATTATTTGTGAAACATTTTTCATAATTTTTTGTCTATGTCCATAGTAACTGCATTATGCATCAGGGAGATGTAGGGATTGACACGTCTTACACATATTATCTGTGTTTTAGGATGAAGAGGACATAATGTTTTTATTGCTTTGAAGAAATTGATTAACCCGTAAATTAATAAGATGAAGAATGAAGATGAGGAATTGGTTAGAATGTATTTTATATTCTATTTTCTTGCAAAATACAGACACATCCACACTATTCAACAGGTATGTAATGATAACACTCAATATATTGAAGTTAGCAAATTCGAGATTGCCAAGCATGAACAAACATCCAAATCTGCAGCCAAATTTAACAGCTAGAAAATCGACCTATTATTTGCCGCATTCGAGTTGGCTTTGGGGATTTTGGATAACTGATAGTTAAATGTAAACTTATAACAGAAATCAAAATACATGAAAGTTGTCCTGTTTTCTTTGTACAACAGCATCATTTTGTAATCAAAAAGTGGTCTTGTTCATAATACAGTCGAATTTTCATGATTTTATTCAATATTTTAATAGAAATCACTGATATTCAGTGACCTTTGACAGCTTCTGTCAAATTGCATTTCGATAAGGTATTTTCCCATTGGTCCATAATATTAATGTTGGTGAAATTGGGCCTTAATCTATCATTTCTGGTGGCGCTTGTCTTGAAAAGATTCCTCTATCTTCAACTGAAAATGATAGCAGTTTAGTTTCTCGCAATAGTTTTGAAAATTGATGCAGTGGACACATCAGAAGCATTCTGCCAAACAATCTCAGTTACATTCATGGTTCCGGGGATATCATCTATGTTTTGAGGTATTGGTATGTCTTTTGTTGCAACTATTTCGTCGTCCGTGACTTCATGGAGTAAAATAGTTGAATTTTGTTAGTGAACGCACAAACTCTGCAGCTGTATTGACATCGTTTCCTCGTAAAACTAGGGCATAAGCAGTTCTTTTAGCACTCCTCCTACGCCATTCATTGGCCCCTTATCACGACCTGATTCACTGAATGTCCACGTTCAAGTAGTTATTTGCGGAAACTGCTATATTAAGGTTTTAATCCATAAGTAAATATTACTGCGATTTCTAAACTGGGATTTTGGTCCGTCTGAAAGCACGTGAAGGGTATTTACGTGATGCCTGGTACTTAATATTTTCTGTAACGCTGATTTCAAGTGACCCCATACAGCCTGAACCTGATGGTGTAAATTATCACTCACAGTGGCAAATGAAACAGTTTGTAGAGAAGTATCGTTTTTGAAGCTCCTCATCTAATTGATTGAATCTCTTATCCATCTTTTGTCATGTAATTTTCAGCGAAATCAATTTGAATCCTTATGTCAGTTTCTTTTAAATCATCTTTCAGTTCTCTTTTCGCCTTCAAGTTCTTCTTCTTTACCAGTCTTAACTTTCTCGTCAGCTTTTTTTCTTTCGTAATATTCCCTATCTTTCAGTCTCTTCATCTCTTTGTCTTCAGGTGACTTGTTATCTAAAAACTTGCATCTCCTTGCTTACGCATTTTCACGATGCCTTTTATAAGCTATACTATCCTGTTTTAATCGTTTTTTCGGAATATTCTTCTCCCGATTTTTATTGTTTTCCATGTTACTTGTACTGAATAGATACCTAAAATTTTATATATGTATGCTTTTTAAACAAATTAGAGTACGTTCTCGAAATAACCGTTCCCAAAATTACTATTCGATGAACAATTCAATGTCATGTTTTATGCCGCCATTTTAGATATTGGTTTTGGAGGTTATGAACAAGAAGGCGGTAATATTTATTATTACTTTGAAAGAAATATGAAAATTTGCGAAAAACTAATCATCAAACAGCGTTCCCGTAGTGACAGGGAATTAAAGTACGTCACACGCATCATAACAAACTAAACGTACTTACCAACAAAATAAATTCTTTTTTACGTAAATTCGACCAACGCCGTTTTTTGTATAATGAACTTCACGTAGGTGCTCTCTAACGCCACCTATTGTTTTTTGTTTTAGTTACATGGACCAACGCCATTAGCGTTCACGGAATGATTTGATAAATGCCAGACAGCAACTTGAGTAGCCAAAATATGAAGAAATTAAAATGATATGAATTTAATTGATAGATAGATTCTTAATTCAATGATTTTATAAGATATTATAAAAATATGACAGTTTTAGTTCGTAACTGTAATCACTTTTGACTTGTCTGAACTATGACAGGTGGTATAAGGACGCGTTCCCGAAATGACCTCTTCGGCCTGTTTTTGTTTAAAATCAAATAAAACATCATTATAAAGAATAAAGATACATTTTTAAAAAATTAATTTTAGTTCTTTCCAAAAGACGACGTCTAACAAAGCACCAGCTGATTCAAAGTTGCAATATTGTTAATAAGTTTATCAGTCCAAATTCTACCAACCACCCATTGTGGCACAGAAACCGTATATTACTATACCTGTTATTCTCCCTTCCTTCCCAGCATTTTTGTGGTCCTTCTTTCTTATAGTCTGCTTGGAGACAGGCCGGAATCTGTGTCAGCCGTCCAATTGATTATGCATGCCGCCGCTATAGCAGACTCCATGAAATCGAGAGCACTTTCCATCGACAAATGTTTCCATGAAGGCCTTCGTGCTCTCGATATGTAGGACGCTGCCATTTAAATCGCACGCTTAGCTGAAGTTCAATCGAATTTTTGATTTTATGTATTCAGTGACAAAGAAAGTAGGACACTTAGTGATTAAACTATAAGGTGGAAGCATTTGTTCTATCGCTATATTTCCATAATAATGTTTCCTAGGACCTAATTTATGTCCTCTTCAGGTATCACATTTCAAACTATCCGCATCTGGTTTTATAAAGTTGTCAGCGCTTGTATAAGGTAAGATAAGGAGCTCACTTTTCCGCGCATCATATCATACACATGTCTAATGGACGAAAGTTCTCGAGATCCAGGGCGTAAAGCAATTAGGCTGACTTGAAGGTAACTGAGAAAGTCTATTGTAGCTCTAGCAATATGATGACGCGCGTGATCCTGTTGGACAATGGGGTACTTAAGAGCTTTGAGAAATGGCATGAGATACGGTTTCCGTATTTCCTGGATAACCGTTGTGCCCTCATGCAACCTCTAACGAAAACTAACATAACTCACATGCCCCACTTTTTTTTCCGAAATCTAGCGATATCACAAACGTTTTCATTCCAAAAAGTTATAAGCGAAACTACATATGACAACTGCCCCGAAAAGTATCCAATTTTGTATCAATCCAAATTGAGGTATAATTGGTTCAAATCGCCTTGGCCAAGTTTTATTACATTGTTATATCTTGAATAGCCGTGATTGTTATATTTGTGCCTTCTTGTATTCTTTCAGCTCCACTAAAAAATTTATGAATTTTTTGCCCGGAAAATCGCCAAAAATAGGAGAAATCGCATTTTCACTGAGTTTCTCCAATATTTGACATTTTAAATGTAGGCTCTCTTTAAAACTGAACAAACACGGATCTTTAGCAATCAATTCAGGTTCCATAGTCAACATTATGATTTGTATTCCGGAAAATTGCAAAAATAGAAAAACCGCATTTTTGGAGATTTTTAACGTTTTAAACGTGAAATATCATAGTTAGCTAACTTAAACAATCAACGTGTATATATATTTTCTTCCATCCTTTCAGATTACATCGTCAACATTTAAATATGAATCCCGGAAAGTTGCGAAAATGCAGTTTTTTCGATATTTGGAGATTTTCCGCACAAAGATTCATGATTTTGTTAGTGGATCTGGAAGGAACGCAAGAAAGCACGGATTTACTTTGGATTTTTTAATTTGCAAAACTCTGATTATCTAATCAATAGTTTTAAAGAATATAAATAACAATGTAGCATCAGTACTTTTGGAATTTGTATGAGCAAAATTACACCTTTTATAAGTTGATCACACAAAAACACATTTTTGAGGTTTAAAAATTTGCTTAGCGTGAAATATGCCTTAATTTCGATTGATCCAGGTTTGTATACCTTTGGGGCAATTGTCATATACTATATAGTCTCGCCTTCGGTTACTTACGAAACTAAAATAGGGAAAATGCGATTTTTTTGTTATTATGTTCACTTTTAAGGATTCCATGAAGGATAGTTGACTTCTGAAAATAACAATGCCCCAAGTTAGCAGCTGAAGTCCCACGAATGCCAAGTTACAGTCTTTCCTCCTGTTTTCAATCAGCATCAAAGTCGTCACTTACATGGAAAAGCTTTTTCTGTGCGTAAAACTTTTCGATATGCTCACATCCTCATGAAATTGGGCATTTGAGAATGGACATGGAGAGAAACTATGTAAGAAATGCGCGAGAATATGTTTGTTTCTCGTAGTTTATTTTAGGCCTTAGTTACGCTGTTACAGTCTTGAAATGAAACAAAGATGCTGCACATAGTAAAATAAAAGCTGTTCCAAAAAATAAAACAGCTTTTGTTTAAAAAAGCTCTAAACATTGCTGATGTGACGAGCGTATAAATTGCTAGAAAAACTTGTATCTTCAGCTTTGGAAAATCGTATAAAATATCAGAATGAAGGCATAATTACCATAAATATTACAAATTAATTCTTGTTTTCCAAAAATCTTGGTTGCAACCAGAGGTCTTGCAGATCTTGATTTTATCATATTTGAGGTAAAATGGTATTGAATATTTTGGTAAAAAACGGCGATTTTGTTTTAGGTAGGGACACAAGTTTGGCAAAAAATCACGTGAACACTTGCAGCCCCCTAGGCGGGGGTGACACCAACCCTATAATCTTAAATGGAAAGGGGGGTCGAGTGATACCTTATTTTAAAGTTCTTTCAATTACCTTTATAATAATGTAAAATTCATGAGCTTCCGTTCAGTAGTTTTGAAGATTTATTGATTTAAATCTTAAATTAGACTTTAATAGGTATATCAGATTAGTTTGTACTACTTTTAGAAGAAATTTGACTAAAGGATTTTACTTAATAAGTAAATGCTTTTGTTCACTACGCCTATGGTTTATTTATCATGTTGTTGTTGAAAATAGCTATTGGAGAGTTTTTTTGTGGCCAAAAAGTTATTTCTAGAAGAAAGATAAGGAAATATCTCGTACTTATTTTAAAGAGGAATTAAGTACATAGTTTGCGATTGATTTGACCAAACTTTGTTGCTAAAATAACTTGTAACGCTTTATTACATAAATTAACCATGGTATATTCCACAGCAGAAAGGGTTGAAATTATCGAAATATTTTCCAGAAATAATCAGTGCGCTAATAGAACAGCAGAAATACTTAATGAGCGACATGAGAACAGTAACGTGCATCGAAAATATGTTCTAGAACTTGTAGCTAAATTTCGGGAAACTGAGTCAGTCGCCAATAAAAAACGCATCATTCAAAATCCCATAAGGAACTAAGTAATAGAAGTGGGGGCTTTAGGGCAAGTTTATGTAGATCCTACGTTAAGTACCTGCAAATTGGAGACTGAGTGTGGTGTTAGTCGACGTACTGTCCAACGGATTCTAAAGGCCCATAGTTTTCATCCGTATAAAATTCTCCTGGTACAAGAACTTAATGAAGACGATTTTGATCGGCGATTACAATTTTGTGAAGATATGAGTGAACGAATTATAAACGATGAACATTTTCTATTCAACACTTCTTTTCCGACGAATATTCCTTTTTCTTAAATGGCATAGTAAATCGTCATAACTGCCAATATTGGTCCGATTCTAATCCCAGAATTTATCATGAGGTTCATACACAGCCGCCACAAAAATTAAATGTTTTGGCTGGTATTTTTGGCGATCATTTAGTTGGTCTTCTTTTCTTACCTGGAAATTTGACTGGGGAAATGTTTTTGGAATTACTGGAAGACGCCATAGATCCTGCATTAACAGCCATAATTGAAAATCAGAATGATCGGCGGTACATTGCGAATAGGTTGATGTTCCAACAGGATGGTGCCCCACCACATTACGCACTACGTGTTCGACAACATTTAGATCAGACGTTTCCATATCGATGGATTGGTAGAAGAGGTGCCATTGAATGCCCCCCAAGATCGCCAGATTATCACCTTTGGATTTCTTTATGTGGGGTCATTTAAAAAGCAAAATCTATGCCACTCAGCCAACATCATTAGAAGACCTGCGACAAAGAATTGTGAATGAGTGTCTTCAAATTACTCCTCATTCATTTCATTTTTAAATTACTTTGCTGACAAATGTATTGATCTCCACTAATGATGATGTACTGGCTTTACTTAAGCTTTAAATCA